ATATATATATATATATTTGTGTATGTGTGTATCAAAAGGTAAATCTACCAGGAAAAACTATATTATAACACGATAAGTAACCATAACTTGAATTATCAGTTCCTAATCATTCGGGGTAAAATTTGATTATCATACCTTAACAAACTTCTAAAAGTAGAGGACAACCATAAACTGATAAAACTATTTTTTTTACTTATTTAGATCCAAGTCAGCTTACAACTTAAAATATCATAAGAATGCAGTTAAGACCTTTTTTTCACAAAAAACAACAGATCTCACTCATGATATGAACAGTACAAATGATAAGAAATCCATGGTCCAAAATAACTCAACTTGGCTCAGTGATCCTCCATAATTTACCAAGGCCAAATATTTATATCTTTGAGATTGAAATATTCCTTAAAGCCCACTAATGATTCATTGAAGTCAAGATGGACATGCAAGGTCCAATTACTTCAGAAGAGGTAAAAATGTCATCTTCAATGGATCAGACATCTAAAATTGACGGGTTTCCCAACTTCTTCACGCAGACACAAGAAAGAAGAGTAAATAAATATTGGATAGCAGGAGAAGAGGGCTGCATTAGGCAAAAGCAAAGACAAATACATATCTGATGACAGGAGAGGAGGGTTGACTTAGGTAGCTAACACCTAGAATAAGAAATTTGATATATCTAATATAAGCATGGATCTCGACCAATAACACTTCAATGCTGAGAAAAGATCCATATAGCTAATCCTGAACAATTAGGATTTACATCTTATGGTAGTTGACTAATTGCTGTTAACAGTCACACACCTTCAGGCCAACATGCACTTAATATTGGGAAACAAAAAGTACTGAAAAACATAAACCGATTGAAGGATTAACATCAATTCAAAAATCTCTAAGCTCGTCATAGGATTTTCATAAGCAAAGCCCCATGATACATTCATAATAGTAGGATAATATGTGACCCATTAGAAGTCGTGACTCTGCCTTCTTTTTCAGAATAAACCAAACTAGTCATATTTGATATTTCTTTGGTAGCACTACTGAATAAACCAAACCTAGACAATTATACTTAACAAAAAAATCTAAGAAATTAACTGGAGCATATTCAGAATTCATCAAGGTAAAGATCACATTAACACAGACACCATGTTTGTCTATGCAGCACAAGCAGAATATAGACAGCAGTAGCACACAAATCCTTAACATACTATATTCAATTTAAATTATTTTTTAGCTTCATAAATTGATTTGTTGCTTTTGTACAATCTAAAACAAAGAATAAAAATATGATGATGATGTTGATGATAAGATGGTTAGATGTAAGAAACAACCATTTAACTTCACTAAGTGCAAATCCCCCATATGAAGATCATCACATTCAAAAGCATGGTGGTAGGCATCTGGGACACATGTTGAAAGACTAGCTAGAGCATCAAACATTCCGCCATGTCCCCATCTTCCAGAGTTATCAATGCAACTGCAAACAAATTTCTAAATCAAGTAAAGGAAAACAAATATTAAAGAGTACCACATAAAGGGAGAAGTCATTATATATTTAAAAACTTCTTCAATTCTTAAGGAATATCTCTCAATACAAACTAATGGGCAATAACCTAATTATTTGATGCTGTTTAGGATGCATGAATTTGTGGATGCAACCATATTATGTAATGCATGCAGTGGCAGATTGCATTTCTATAAATGCAGCATTTACTGCTAAGGTGGCTTGTTGGATCTCTACATATGAAAATGCTGCATTTTTATAAATTCTTTGTTTGGATCCCTGCATTTAGAGACTGCATTTGCAAATCAGCAAGTTATGACAACAAATCACTAGGATATATGGAGGAGAGATACCAAGTATGTAAGAGGACAGCCATGATAACTTTCTATGCACAAAATAAGGAAAACGAAGTTAATGTGGAAACACAGAGCCAAAAAGTTATTGAAGATGAAATCGATTTAATGATCAGGGATCCAAATGTCATGTTGATGAACTTTCAATAGCAAAGGAAATAAGCAAGAAATAAACCAAAGGTTGGCACTGTTTTGAAACAAAATAAGTGATGATATGTAATAGCACCTAGAGCAAAATTGCAGTTAAATTCACTTATAGTTTTCATTAGCATCTGTGAAAAATAAAAAGTACCTAAAAATTATAGCAGGCTCTGATGGGAAAACTTTTGATGGTTTAGTGCAATCTCCGTACACAAACTGGACAGAACCCAAATCAGACAGAACACTATTCTCCACTATGAGATCCGGCTCCTTAATAGCTAATGTCTGGTAACCAAGAGCTTCCCACTTTGCTAACTGTTTCTCCTCTGCCTTTTTCTTATCAGCTTCACGTTTTCGTTGATATTCTTCTGACAGATGTCTTCTCTTTCCCTGCTCCAAATAGGAAGCCTCTCCAGACAATGAAGCCTCTTTAAACTTCTGAAGCCAGGACAAATATGAAGCCTCATCAACTCTAGGATCAAAAGTAGCAGATCCATAAGATTTTGCAAACATGTCACCGCTTTCCAACATATCTTTTTTATTAATTTTGAATCTTCGGACATCCTTATCTGATGTTTCATGATTACGGATTTCAACCACTTTATCAGTCATTTCATTGAGTTCCACCATATTATCCGCATCAATGGAGTCTTTGTTGACATCCATGGGATCAAATAATTGTAAGCCAATAATGAGTGACCGCATGTCACCAGTATCAGTTCCAACATCCTTTCCTGCTGCATATGTTTCTTCTTCTTGATGAACAACATTGTTGCTTAGCCAAAGTTTTTTCTCTGCTCTTCTCATGATTGCCTAGACATATACATCGGCTATGGTAAAACAATGTTACAAATTTCAGACCAAAAATATTCATTTCAAGAGAACATAATTTCTTCACCTCTTCGATGGTGTGTTCTGTTACCAAATTTATGGATAACACATGGTTCATTTGGCCAATGCGGTGAGAACGCTGCAAGGCTTGCTTGTCTACTTGAGGATTCCAGTCTTGCTCGTAAAAGATTACCTAAAGTAATTTCATAAGTGACAATAGAACATACAGGACTGCACACAAAATGTTGTTTTACCAGAAAATTAGCTATACTGACATTTTAAATGAATTTAGGCCCAAAAAATTAAACTATTTGGTCATGAAAAATGTTGAAGTTCTAGAATTCCTGGAAAAAAAAGTCTTTCATCATCATCTACTATATTTATGATACTTAAGTCTGAACAATAAAACTGGACTCAAAAGCTTATTAAGAAACCATTGTTTTCGTAGCCTGTGCATTTATGTGATGTTACCCATATTCCTAGTTGCAAATCATCTACCAAATCCATCATTTACTACTCAAGTGTTATAGTGTTATCACGATCCAAAAAAACCAAGGTTTTTAATTTTGTTCCATACCGATGTACCGAGTCTTGCTAGGTATGGTACCGACGTACCGAGCGGTACGCCAAGATTCTAATGATAATGCCTTCAGCAGAACTGTCATACAAGTGGGAGGAATCAACAACAAAGAAGGTAGCTAAGCTATTCTACATCTCATATTAGCATATTTTTCTTGGACATAATCTGAACTCTTACAAAGGCACCTTGACAATTAATATTTGTATTACTATCATATTTACTTTACGTCTGCAAACATTGATAGCCGAGCGGCCTCGAGACGAACCCCATCCCTCCCCATCTCTCTCTCTCTCTCTCTCTCCTGCTCCTCTCATCACCTCCCATGTCGACGCTCGCCGCTTGGTCGCCCTCCTCCGCTATCATCGCGTCACTGCCAACGAG